TAGTAGGAAAGTATATTGTAAATGAAATTGTATCAAACAAGTACAATTGTACCAAAAAATGCCAACACTGTTGTGTATACATATTTTTTTTCTTTTTTACTTTTTTACTCTTATTTTATCTTTCAGCTTCGCTAAAAGCACTTATACCAACGCTTGGCTTACCAAATTTACGCCAATTGATAAAATTTGGCGATTTAAACTCATTTTAAATAATGTAAACAACAATTCGAGTTGAATCGAAAATCGCCTCGTCTGAATAGGGATGGCAACTTTTTCACTTTCAACTTCTCATTCAACTCCGCATTCAACTTTTGTTGCCTGAAAAATCGCCTCGTGCGAAAGGCCTATTATACATATGTATATACACGAGATTTGGAAGTTTTTATCCAGACGTCCAATCGACATGTTTGAGATATCGTTGGAAAGGTTCTGCAGAGTGTGTCCAGAAAATGTATTCAAGCTTCATAAACGATTAACCGGATTCTTAAAAATTTGGCTAAAGTGTTGCGAAACAAAAAACGTTTTTTTGCTTTTTCCGGTTTAGGGGGGCATATGGGTACACCAAACATATTTAGTGTTATTCTACAGGCCAATACCTTATATATTAAATTCCGGCTACTAGTTGGAAAGATATAGAGGTAAATGTGTTTTGGTTCGTGTCTCCACTACGAGATGCTTTGGTATGTATGTGGCGTCTGTACGTACCATCATTTAATTTTTTTCAAACTTTCAGGAATTAAAGTACCAAAAAAACTAAGAAGGTTTTGTTCCATGATGTTTTGATTCGTATGTCTTTGTGGGCGTGGCTGGGGCCTGAAATTCGAAAAAAGGCAATTTTTTAAACTACCACTGAGGCCGCACTACTCAGTCCATGTCATTGATGTGGATATTAGTAGAAGGGTCTTCAAACAAGCTATCTAACGCTATCTTTTGTGTTTATAAAATATAAATATGTCATAACGTTACCGCTTGAAAACTAAAAATCGGGCTGCTGAAAATATACATTTCGGGCATTTTCTCAAAAATTGGTCAGTCGACTTTATTCTAAGTTTCCACAACTCTAGCCCAAAATCTTAGCTTTCATCTGGTATATAACCTATATCTGGGGAAACTCTTGTTGGGGAGATATCTCGATTCAAATTGAAAAAATGTCGCTCCGAAAAGGGTCAAATGGTTAAAAATTAACATATTCGTCTAATTTGGTTACTTTAAGATATAAAAATAACATACCCAGTTCCCCGAAAAAATTTCCCATTCCCCGATTGCCACTTAAATCGAAATTCCCTGCAAATCGGGGAATTTCCCGCGAGTTGACAAGTTGAAGGATGCAGCTGTGCTAATCACTTCGTACATGTCGTGGAAACCACAATTCGTGTGTATTTTAGAGTTTTTTTTCAGTCATATGCCAAAATTGTAACATTTTTCCCTATTTTAATTGCAGGTATGTACACAGTATGTAACTATGCTACATGGGTTTATCACCCGCACTTAACCTACCTGGGAAGACGCGTTACCTACAGTTGTACATAAATATGTATGTATGAATGCATTTAGTTCACCCAATGTGCCGCTACTACTTACATACATATGTACAAATTGCTTCTGAGCAAAACTACTTGAGAAAACATCATAAAGGGCTAACTATATTATGAATAAGCAGGCGTATGTAACTGTGCGAATACACATAAAGCCTATTCTGAAACTATTACTACGTTTATACGCACAGAATAATCGACTTAATTGAAAGCGGATTGACACCGTACACATTTCGCTCTAGTGTTTATACTTACGGCTTTATATCGACATCAAAGTAACCGTCTTCAAAAGCAAACAAAATAAGCTGTTTTCATTTGACATTTTATAAGTTAACATAATGGAAAGTGATAAAAATCTAGTTTTATTCGGCATTATAAAATCGTGGCAAAGAAAAAGAACGATTATTATTAATCAGCTTTTAAATACTGATGCGATTATTTGGAATTTGAGCGGAACAGCTGATCTCCAATTCGCTTTGAGTGAGAGCGGTGTTTATACACTCTTTCTAACTGTCTGGAGAAATCAACTACCGATTTGAAATGGAGTGTGAGCCAAAACACTTCGCTCTTTCAAAGCGAATTGAAATTCAGTTTATACATATGTTTTGAATCGTGGCGAAATGAATTAAAGCGACTTATGCATGCGTATAAACGTAGTATATAATGTGCTTAACATCAAGTTTTGTCAAGTTTCGCCAAACGTCATTTGCTTAATGAAAGAGCGATACTGATCGCACCTTCCGTACGGAATCAGCTGTTTGTCCTCGTACGTATGTACATATGTATGTACATATGCAACACATGCTGTGTTGCCGCATTGGTATTTTTTTTTACCGAAATTGGTAATTTTTTTCTTTATTTATCATATTTGGTAATTTGGTAACTTATTTTTCAACTTGGTAACATTTTCGACTCAGTCCTACTTGTAACACAGGTCAAAAGAAGTTCTGGTTCTACATTAGGAAGTGTGCCGTAAGCGTTTCCTTTTACAGAAACACCAGGGCCCGAATCGCGGCAGTCGTGAACGACACAAATTGTTAGAATTTTTTCGATTTGGCATCACCGCACCCGTTATCGAGTGAGCTCATTCGAAATTCGTTATTCCGCCACTCGTTAACGAGTGTTTTTTCATTCGAAGACAACGAAATTTTATTCGACTGGCATTTTTCAAACGAGTAACAAGTAATTCGTAAAAATTTTTGATTTTAACAAGAAAAACTAGTTAAATAATAAGAGAAAAAATATATAAGTTACTGTTTTTTAAATATTAATGATAAATATTAATTATACAATGCTTTTAGGACGAATGTGAATAAAATTAATATGCAGCAAAAAAGTCTGATGGCTGAATATATACTGGAGCACCAACACTTGGCCAAAAATGTTATACCGAATTCCGGACAGGGCAAAGCAACTGCAAATAGGTTATGGGAGGCTTTGGCAGTGAAACTTAATGGCGCAGGTCCCCCTGTCCAGGATGCAAAGACATGGCGAAAGGTACGTCCTTGCAAATATATTGTGGTAAAAGTCCGAGGGCGCCAGGCTGAAAATCAAAAACATTGAGAGTACTCCCTTTCTTAATACATTTTAGGTATTTGCTGACCAAAAGCAGAATGTGAAAAAGAAACTTTCCTTTAATAAGGCGTCGAAGCAGAGAACTGGCGGTGGTCCTTACGAGGAAAAGCCTTTGACGGCGGCAGACGAACAAATTGTACAGGCTGCCGGGTTGGATGTTTCAGTAGCAGGGCTACATTCTGTCAGATGTTTTGGTAATTTATTGCCCCAAAATGAAAGCGCCCAGGAAGCAATCGAGGAAACAGTAGAAGAATTTTTGGCCAGTGATGAGGAAGAAAGCGGAAGTAAGAAAGAAGACGAATACCCCACTACCTCCAGAAAAAGTGTAAAAGCACAAGGAAAGACTGAAAAGCTTGCACTCCTAAAATTACACCTTAATGCGTCTGAAGAATCTCAAAGCAACATAAGCAGTAAGTTGGACAGACTGATAGCGCTTAAAGAAAGATCGGTAGCATTGAAGGAAGAAGCTCACAAGGCTAACATGGCCGTCAAGGAATTGGAACTCAAAATCAAACGCCTTGAGTTGGCTGCTTTACAAAATTCATATTCAAAATAGTTCAATATATTTTTACATATCGTTACCTTAATTGATACTTTTAAAACGCAAATATTTTTTTTTTTAATCTTTACGACTGTGAATTTGAATTATAATTTTAAGTGCATTTCAATCTAAGAATATGATTAATTTTTTGATTTTGAGAGTTGCACTGTAATTAAAGAATGAATTAAAAAATGTTTATAAATTAATTTTATTTTCCTTTCTTTAGAAATAAATAAAGTGGTGAATGAATTCTTGTGTATAGTGTTATAACTAAATAGTATTCGATAACGAGAGCATTATTTGATCTCTTATTTTTTGGTAGATTTTCGTTAAATGAGTTTCGTTTCCAATATCCACTTCTGTTTCAATATTTTCGCATACGTTATATCTGCAATATGACGGATCTTTAAATTGTATGCATACGTTATGCAACGCTGCACACACATTGCCGGACTTCGCTATTTTTTCTGGCCTATAACGACTTCTCTTGTCATTGCTGAGGATTTTCCAGCGACCTTTAAAAATTCCTATTGTTCTTTCAACAATACACCTAGATTTTGCATGAACCTCATTGAATCGCGCTCGATTTGAATCTTCTTCAGGATTTCTGTAAGGCGTTAAACACCATGGCTCTAAAGGATATCCCGAATCTCCTATTGAATTGGACATATGTATATGTATTTAATTGCATTAAAATATTACTAACATATTTTAATGCATTAAAATTATTTACCTAAAAGCCAAACGTTCTTCAAATTGTTAAGATTATATTGCTCTTCCAAAAATTGCCTTTGTGCTGAATGCTTCCACACAAAAGAGTCATCAGCGGCTCCACCATATTTTGAATCAATGGCCAATATCCTGTATTCATGGTCACAAATCTGCAAAGGAAATCTTATTAAAATTACTTAGTTTTTGAATATAGTGCAATCTACGTACTATCATAGAATTGATGCTGTGATATCCTTTACGGTTGAAAAACATGTGCTCGTTGTGAGTTGGTTTTTGTAGCCCAAAATGTGTTCCGTCAATGCATCCAATAACTGCAAAACAAATAAATACAAATAAATTAGAAGCATTTCTTTTTTCTTAGAAAACCATTTTTTACGAGTGAGATTTTGTGTCCTTAACTACATACTTCCAGGAATTTTGTATTTTTGTACAAATGATTCCGCGCACTGAGAAAAGCGTTCAGGGGAAAATTTTATAAAATGGGGGCACAGCTTTGTTTCCAATTCATTGACCACATTCCACACTATTTTGCAAACTGAGCTTTGGCCTAATCCAATCAAGTAATCGCTGCCAACTGCATTTTGGAAACCTCCACTGGCCAAAAGCGATAAAGTTGCCGCTAATTGTAGCACTGGTGGGACCGATGTTGACAAATGTCCTTTAAATTGCAGACGTGAAAGCACATACTCGAACCCGCTTTTGTTTAGTCTGAACCGTTTTTTGAAACTAGAAATTTGTAACTGATATTAAAATTCATTAAATAAACCGAACACAATTCTTACGCTTCTGCCGACAAAGCCATACACTGAGAAAAAGGATTAGTTTCGACAACTAAAGATGTTTAGTTTCCGAATTTTGACAATATTTGGGAACTGTTACCAAGGATTGGGAACTATTACCATGGGTAATATAACTATAATAATTATAGTAATTATAGTAATTATAACTAAATATATGAAAGCTTCTAATATTCATCTAGGTTGTAACAAATCGTTAATTTAGTTGAAGGGTTTGGTTAATACTAATAAATATTTCTTTGAAGCATATTTCTACAAATTCCATTGAACTTGAACGTATGGTTCTTAAAAAGATGTTATTAAGCTCTGCTAATGCAGATAAGCTTTCTTGCAACACATGGTTTAGTCATAGTTACAAAATCTTGGTTGAGGCAACCACGATTTGGTTTAAGAGTGGAACATATTCATGCTTGTGAGCCACCCCTAAAGAATGCTGAGCGCTCTCTGAGCACATATGTGTTTCACATACGAAGAGCTGAGCAACGCACACAGTCCCACTTATTGAATCGTTTGAATGGGCTAGTATGCCGACCATTGCATTGTGCGTGGAAATCATTGTTCCGCTACCGCTGTTCGTATATGGGTGAAACACGCATGTGGTGCCAGAGCTATGGTATGTCGATCGCTGCGCTAGGTAGAGAAAGAAAAGTGTGTGCTATGACATGCACAGAATTGTTTGGCTCAGTTTTTCTATCACCGCGAGTTGTTTCGGTGCGCGCATAGTTATTTAAAAATATAACGTTTGATGCCAACCGAGGTTTTTCAGTGGATATATAATTCATGTGAATTATAATTTGAAAGTGTCTATTTAGCCAAGGAAAAAGCAAAGCAGTATACTTCCAGCAGACATTGACCTGGGTTTTCGCACGACTGTTCCTGTATCATCGTTGTTTTTTAGGAAATTCTTACCACCATATACATACGTATTATTTACTTTAGTAACTAACTTATGTAAATATGTACTTTTTTTATGCTTAATATATGCAAATAAAAGAAGAAAGTAGACCCAACAAACATCGAGTAAATTTTTATTTGTGTCAAACTGAAACTTTTTTCCCAATAATAAACGGTTAGCTGATTCAAGTCTACAGCAAGTTCACAAAATTAATTGAAAACNATTAACAAATATACATTTGTCCCAACTAGAAGTCTTAAGTAAATTGCAGACTTTCGTGAACTATATATTTATTTCGCCATATCCAACTATGCTACTTGATCACTATAACCAAATCTTGGTTATTATAACTAAACCTTTTTCTGGGTGTAGGATTGCCTCTTTCACGCATCTGTCTCCTTGCGACTGCGCAGTTGCTTTCATCTTCTGACTCCGAAGAAGTTAAATAAAAAAATACTACAGGATCCATCCTTATTGATGCAAATATAATTTTTTAGTAAAGTTTTCTTTAAATATAACGCATCACAGCTAAATGTAATTTCGTTTTGATTCTTTTGCTTTGTTTTGACATTTCTTTTTCGCCATCCACAAGTGGAAGGCAAGTTTGGAACTAAATAATTTCGATTCGTTAGGTTTCGACTGCGGCGATCCGGTCATTCTACACGTCACGAAATTTTGCTCGACTCGAATGGTCGCTCGTTCACGACTGCCGCGATTCGGGCCCAGGTTATCCTGAAAGTTTCGCAAGGCGAACAGTTCTTCGGCGTTTCTAGGTTACTATAATTGTGTGATCTACAACAAACTGCTTGATAGTGGCTATTGTTAAATCTAATAAATGTGGCAACACTGAACTCATGTAAGTAAAATATAGCCACCTAAAAGTCTACACAACGTTGCTTATGCATTTGACAGACTTTTCGTTCATTTTCTGACAGTCAGTTACGGCAGCTTATTCATATTATAGTTAGCCCTTTAGTTTAATAGCACGAGTGCAACACCGTACACGTAATAGAAGTAAAACTTCTTAAAAAAGCACATGTGTGCACCCCACACCCCGTAGAAATCTTAACTGAAATAAACTACGAGACTATCAGATGAATACAGTTGTTTATTGTATCCAAAGTTGGTACCAAGTTGATAGGTTTTTATCATTTCTCATTTCTCATATTTTATTTTTTATTTTTAACTTTTTCGAATACAAAGGATATGATCATTCTTTTTCGATTTATTCCGTATTCGAAAAATTATGTGTGTGTTTCAATGGACACATCGATTTGAATACATAATTTAGATTTAGATAACATTTTTAGCAACTTATTTGAGAAAAATAAAACATTTAGATTATTGTTTTTATTTTCGTCGATTTTAAATGTGCTACCCCAAAATAATTGATATCAAACAAAACACCTCTTTGAGGTAAACTTTCCAAGTGACGAAAGCTGAACTAGAAACACAAAATTTATGATATCAATTTCGTGACGAAAATTAGACGAATTTTTTAACTGCCTTTGAAACGTACGGAAGATCTTTTTTTATTTATTCGAAAAGTTGCGAAATTCCGTTTACTGCTAGAAACACAAAATTTATGATATCAATTTCGTGACGAAAATTAGACGAATTTTTTAACTGCCTTTGAAACGTACGGAAGATCTTTTTTTATTTATTCGAAAAGTTGCGAAATTCCGTTTACTGCTACAAACACAAAATAAAAAACAGAACTTTTGCAACGATTCGTATGAATAAAAAAGATTTTCCCTACGTTTCCAAGGCAGTTAAAAAATTCGTCTAATTTTCGTCACGAAATTGATATCATAAATTTTGTATTTCTAGTTCAGCTTTCGTCACTCGGAAAGTTTACCTCAAAGAGGTGTTTTGTTTGATAATAAAATAACATGCAGATACACCATTGTACTGAAAAGTGTACGCTTGGAATATACCCAGCAAACAATTAGGTTTGATATACATTTGAGAATGATTTGAAATCAAAGCCTTATCAAATGTCAAACGTTTGAAAATGACTTGATATTGATTTGAAAATTACAGCTTTCTCACACGGTTAAAAATTTCGGTTTTAATTTTAAACTTTTTGGACTACATATATGACCAAACTAAATTCAGTTTCAAATACAAACCTTCCAAGTTTAAAAAAAAGAGAGCACATATGTTGGGTTTAGAATTTAAACAATTCGGTTTAAATGTTAAACCCAAACATTTTCATAATTAAGAATAAAAAAAAAAAACAATTTTAAATTTCATGCTCCGTCTGGTTGGGATTGAACCCGGACAGCCTTGGTAGCAACCAATTGTATCAAGCATCTTTGCACACTCAGCTACAGCCACGCATGTAAATGTGCTTTCATATGTTGAGTTTGAATCAACACCACAATTCGCTGTGCAAACATATTCTATTTCGGTTTAGATTTTAAACCAAATTTTCTATATATGAAACCTAGAAACTAGAATTAAAACATTTTGGTTTGATTTTTAAACCACGAACTTTTTGGGCTAAAATTTAAACCAGAATATATTAAAAATTGCGTAAAACTATTGACTGGTTTAAAAAGTAGACTATAAAAGTTTAAAAAAGGCAGTAGTCCCAGCGCGGTTTAAAAATTAAACCCAAATTTTTGACCGTGCAATAAAAAAGGGAGTTTGATCTCCATTTGAGAATATGGCTAACTTCAAATGTGGAAATAAAATTTATAATAGGAAATGCATATTTCATATTTATTTTTTCTTCGCTATATACATATGTATGTACATAAAGTAATTTATAATAGATTCGTCTTGTTGGGCTGCAGCTTTTTCAATTGGCGCAAACATCAAATCGACTATTTGTGGGCTTTCTCTTTGAAATTTTTTCTATTCATTGTTTTTTTTTCAATTGATCTTAATTTTATTCTTAAATTTTTTGATTTAACTGCGCATTTTTATAACATTTGATACTTGACATCTTTCTTCAAATCAACCTCAAATGAGTTTCAAATGTAAAATTTGAACCTCGCTTTCAAATTGAGAATCATTTGAGAAAAACATTTGATATCAAATTGAGAAATACATTTTTCTCAAACGTTTGAAACTGTGTTTGCTGAGTACTTTAGCTACACGTATGCATGTATGTAATTTATATGTACATACATATACATATAGTATTACCACCATAATTCATATATTTGTGCATATTCCTACATTCCTACCAACCGAAAGCATTTGCTTGCATTACATACATACATACACATATATACATATGTATGTATGCTGTATGTACAACAAAATGCATGCCCAAAACAAACGCGAAAAATATCTCCTATACAACGTCGGTGAAAGTTTTTCGCGATAAGTTTATCACGATAAGCTGTTGTGAGTGATCGCGAATGGATTACTTGCATCGTTTTTCTCATTTATGAGAGGCTGACATCTGCAATGCTCGGACTTCTCATCAGTGTTGCCGTTTTAGCCCTTTGGTGGCTAGATTTAGCTACCACATACTTTTTTTGGTCACATAAATTTAAAATTGCCCCTAGCCCTTTTTTAGCCCTTTTTAGAATTTACTCATACTTGGCATGAAAAACTTGTATATGATTAATTTGATCTAAAATTTTTTATTCATCTATGTAAGAGATGAATTTTTAATTTTAAACTAATTCTGGATTTCCACTAGGCATTAAATGGCAAAAATGACAAATGACAAAGTCGGTCATTAAAAAATAATCGTGTCATTACATTAAAAAAATAATCATTAAGAGCATTTCCACATGGCATTTTTTTAAATGGCAGACATTTTTTGTCATTTCAATGCCTAGTGGAAATTCGGCATAAGAATGACTGATATATGTATATACATATATGAATTGTATGTTCCTTACGTTTTTATACTACTATAGTTTAAAGTAGATAAGTTTACGGCCCTTAATATGTGTATGTTCTTGTGGTGTGATTGTACCAGCTGCTGGTGTGACTTCAAATACTATTTGAAAATTTGATGATTGTACCAGCATGCTGGTGTCGTGAGTGGTAAAATTAGCTAAATTTTCTAAGTAAAAAGTATTTTGGCGGAAATTTCTTACCCCATATGGGTCAAAGCCGTGTTTGTGGAAGATTAAGTTCACG